TCAAGGCCGGTTAGCTCAGGTGGTTAGAGCGTGGTGCTAATAACGCCAAAGTCACGGGTTCAGCCCCGTACGGGCCACAATTTCTGTGTTGACTTTATCAACCTTGTAATGTAAGAAAAAATTGAAAACTTCAAATGAGAAATAATCAGCACAGGATTTGCTCTGAGCGCGGTGACAATATCGCGGTTTACAACCCCCGGAAGGCCACAAATGCCTTGTGGACATTATCAAGCTATTAATGTATGGAAGACAAAAACAACTTCTCTCAATGGAGCTACTGACTGAGCCCAAAGGTAACTGGATCGGAAGATTGAGGGTTCAAGTCCCTTTGTGGTTGCTTGAACGATCTTTACCCTTGCATTTTTCAGATTATTCCACATATCACCGTTTGGTGCAACAACTGATAATCGCACGTTTTTGTCATTAGGAATGAAAAAATAATGCTATGAATTTCAGTAGAATCCCAAGGCCGGTTAGCTCAGTTGGTTAGAGCGTGGTGCTAATAACGCCAAGGTCACGGGTTCAACCCCCGTACGGGCCACACCCTCTTTGTTGACATTATCAACCTTGTACTGTAAGAAAAAATTGAAAACTTCTCTCAATGGAGCTACTGACTGAATCTAGAACCGCGTGGCCTAAAGGATAAGGCGTCTGACTTCGGATCAGAAGATTGAGGGTTCAAGTCCCTTCGTGGTTGCTTGGAAGATCTCAACCCTCTGAATCTTGTTTAAGAAGTACCATTTTTCCACATAGAACGGTTTCGTGCAACAACTGAACATCATACTTGTAGCAGGTTATTGTCATTAGGAATGAGAAAATAACGACATGAAACCCTGAAGCACGTGAAGGCCGGTTAGCTCAGTTGGTTAGAGCGTGGTGCTAATAACGCCAAGGTCACGGGTTCTTAGTTGACGTTATCAACCTTCTACTGTAAGAACAAATTGAAAACTTCTCTCAATGGAGCTACTGAATGAACTCCAAGGAAGCTGGTACTGTGTGGCCTAAAGGGTATGTTGTGTGCCTTCAGATCAGAAGATGGAGCGGTCAAGTACCTTCATGGTTGCTTGAGAGCTCTCCACTCTAAATACCTAATAATCAGCACAAGATTTGCTCTGTAACGCCAAGGTCACGTGTTCAGCCCCCGTACTGGCCACAATTTCTGTGTTGACTTTATCAACCTTGTACTGTAAGAAAAAATTGAAAACTTTAAATACCAAATAATCAGCACAGGATTTGCTCTGAGCGCGGTGACAATATTGCGGTTTACAACCCCCGGAAGGCCACAAATGCCTTGTTGACATTATCAAGCTATTAATGTATGGAAGACAAAAACAACTTCTCTCAATGGAGCTACTGACTGAGCCCAAAGGTAACTGCAGCAGAAGATTGAGGGTTCAAGTCCCTTTGTGGTTGCTTGAACGATCTTTACCCTTGCATTTTTTAGATTATTCCACATATCACCGTTTGGTGCAACAACTGATAATCGCACGTTTTTGTCATTAGGAATGAAAAAATAATGCTATGAATTTCAGTAGAATCCCAAGGCCGGTTAGCTCAGTTGGTTAGAGCGTGGTGCTAATAACGCCAAGGTCACGGGTTCAACCCCCGTACGGGCCACACCCTCTTTGTTGACATTATCAACCTTGTACTGTAAGAAAAAATTGAAAACTTCTCTCAATGGAGCTACTGACTGAATCTAGAACCGCGTGGCCTAAAGGATAAGGCGTCTGACTTCTGATCAGAAGATTGAGGGTTCAAGTCCCTTCGTGGTTGCTTGGAAGATCTCAACCCTCTGAATCTTGTTTAAGAAGTACCATTTTTCCACATAGAACGGTTTCGTGCAACAACTGAACATCATACTTGTAGCAGGTTATTGTCATTAGGAATGAGAAAATAACGACATGAAACCCTGAAGCACGTGAAGGCCGGTTAGCTCAGTTGGTTAGAGCGTGGTGCTAATAAAGCCAAGGTCACGGGTTCAACCCCCGTACGGGCCACAATTTCTGTGTTGACTTTATCAACCTTGTACTGTAAGAAAAAATTGAAAACTTCAAATGAGAAAAAATCAGCACAGGATTTGCTCTGAGCGCAGTGACAATATTGCGGTTTACAACCCCCGGAAGGCCACAAATGCCTTGTTGACATTATCAAGCTCTTAATGTATGGAAGACAAAAACAACTTCTCTCAATCGAGCTACTGACTGAGCCCAAAGGTAACTGCAGCAGAAGATTGAGGGTTCAAGTCCCTTTGTGGTTGCTTGAACGATCTTTACCCTTGCATTTTTCAGATTATTCCACATATCACCGTTTGGTGCAACAACTGATAATCGCACGTTTTTGTCATTAGGAATGAAAAAATAATGCCATGAAATTCAGTAGAATCCCAAGGCCGGTTAGCTCAGTTGGTTAGAGCGTGGTGCTAATAACGCCAAGGTCACGGGTTCAACCCCCGTACGGGCCACAATTTCTGTGTGGACTTTATCAACCTTGTACTGTAAGAAAACATTGAAAACTTCAAATGAGAAATAATCAGCACAGGATTTGCTCTGAGCGCAGTGACAATATTGCGGTTTACAACCCCCGGAAGGCCACAAATGCCTTGTTGACATTATCAAGCTCTTAATGTATGGAAGACAAAAACAACTTCTCTCAATCGAGCTACTGACTGAGCCCAAAGGTAACTGCAGCAGAAGATTGAGGGTTCAAGTCCCTTTGTGGTTGCTTGAACGATCTTTACCCTTGCATTTTTCAGATTATTCCACATATCACCGTTTGGTGCAACAACTGATAATCGCACGTTTTTGTCATTAGGAATGAAAAAATAATGCCATGAAATTCAGTAGAATCCCAAGGCCGGTTAGCTCAGTTGGTTAGAGCGTGGTGCTAATAACGCCAAGGTCACGGGTTCAACCCCTGTACGGGCCACACCCTCTTTGTTGACGTTATCAACCTTGTACTGTAAGAAAAAATTGAAAACTTCTCTCAATGGAGCTACTGAATGAACTCCAAGGAAGCTGGTACTGTGTGGCCTAAAGGGTATGTTGTGTGACTTCAGATCAGAAGATGGAGCGGTCAAGTACCTTCATGGTTGCTTGAGAGCTCTCCACTCTAAATACCTAATAATCAGCACGAGATTTGCTCTGAGTGCGGTGGCTATATTGACGTTTACACCCCCAGAAGGCAACAACTGCCTTGTTGACATCATCAAGCTATTGGAAGACAAAAACAACTTCTCTCAATGGAGCAACTGACTGAACCCCAAGGAAACTGGAACAGCTTGGCCTAAAGGATAAGGCGTCTGACTTCGGATCAGAAGATTGAGGGTTCAAGTCCCTTCGTGGTTGCTTGGAAGATCTCTCCACTCTGAATCTTGTTTAAGCAGTAGCTTTTTGAGATTATTCCACATAGTACCGTTTGGTGCAACAACCGAACATCACACATTTAGCAAGTTATTTCATTAGGAATGAGAAAATAAAGACATGATATTCTGGATCACCTCGAGGCCGGTTAGCTCAGTTGTTTAGAGCGTGGTGCTAATAACGCCATGGTCACGGGTTCAACCCCCGTACGGGCCACAACTTCTTAGTTGACATTATCAACCTTCTACTGTAAGAACAAATTGAAAACTTCTCTCAATGGAGCTACTGAATGAACTCCAAGGAAGCTGGTACTGTGTGGCCTAAAGGGTGTGTTGTGTGACTTCAGATCAGAAGATGGAGCGGTCAAGTACCTTCATGGTTGCTTGAGGGCTCTCCACTCTAAATACCTAATAATCAGCACAAGATTTGCTCTGAGTGCGGTGGCTATATCGACGTTTACACCCCCAGAAGGCAACAACTGCCTTGTTGACATCATCAAGCTATTAATGTATGGAAGACAAAAACAACTTCTCTCAATGGAGCTACTGACTGAACCCCAAGGAAACTGGAACAGCTTGGCCTAAAGGATAAGGCGTCTGACTTCGGATCAGAAGATTGAGGGTTCAAGTCCCTTCGTGGTTGCTTGGAAGATCTCAACCCTCTGAATCTTGTTTAAGAAGTACAAATTTTCCACATAGAACGGTTTCGTGCTACAACTGAACATCATACTTGTAGCAAGTTATTGTCATTAGGAATGAGAAAATAACGACATGAAACCCTGAAGCACGTCAAGGCCGGTTAGCTCAGGTGGTTAGAGCGTGGTGCTAATAACGCCAAAGTCACGGGTTCAGCCCCGTACGGGCCACAATTTCTGTGTTGACTTTATCAACCTTGTAATGTAAGAAAAAATTGAAAACTTCAAATGAGAAATAATCAGCACAGGATTTGCTCTGAGCGCGGTGACAATATCGCGGTTTACAACCCCCGGAAGGCCACAAATGCCTTGTGGACATTATCAAGCTATTAATGTATGGAAGACAAAAACAACTTCTCTCAATGGAGCTACTGACTGAGCCCAAAGGTAACTGGATCGGAAGATTGAGGGTTCAAGTCCCTTTGTGGTTGCTTGAACGATCTTTACCCTTGCATTTTTCAGATTATTCCACATATCACCGTTTGGTGCAACAACTGATAATCGCACGTTTTTGTCATTAGGAATGAAAAAATAATGCTATGAATTTCAGTAGAATCCCAAGGCCGGTTAGCTCAGTTGGTTAGAGCGTGGTGCTAATAACGCCAAGGTCTCGGGTTCAACCCCCGTACGGGCCACACCCTCTTTGTTGACATTATCAACCTTGTACTGTAAGAAAAAATTGAAAACTTCTCTCAATGGAGCTACTGACTGAATCTAGAACCGCGTGGCCTAAAGGATAAGGCGTCTGACTTCGGATCAGAAGATTGAGGGTTCAAGTCCCTTCGTGGTTGCTTGGAAGATCTCAACCCTCTGAATCTTGTTTAAGAAGTACCATTTTTCCACATAGAACGGTTTCGTGCAACAACTGAACATCATACTTGTAGCAGGTTATTGTCATTAGGAATGAGAAAATAACGACATGAAACCCTGAAGCACGTGAAGGCCGGTTAGCTCAGTTGGTTAGAGCGTGGTGCTAATAACGCCAAGGTCACGGGTTCTTAGTTGACGTTATCAACCTTCTACTGTAAGAACAAATTGAAAACTTCTCTCAATGGAGCTACTGAATGAACTCCAAGGAAGCTGGTACTGTGTGGCCTAAAGGGTATGTTGTGTGCCTTCAGATCAGAAGATGGAGCGGTCAAGTACCTTCATGGTTGCTTGAGAGCTCTCCACTCTAAATACCTAATAATCAGCACAAGATTTGCTCTGTAACGCCAAGGTCACGTGTTCAGCCCCCGTACTGGCCACAATTTCTGTGTTGACTTTATCAACCTTGTACTGTAAGAAAAAATTGAAAACTTTAAATACCAAATAATCAGCACAGGATTTGCTCTGAGCGCGGTGACAATATTGCGGTTTACAACCCCCGGAAGGCCACAAATGCCTTGTTGACATTATCAAGCTATTAATGTATGGAAGACAAAAACAACTTCTCTCAATGGAGCTACTGACTGAGCCCAAAGGTAACTGCAGCAGAAGATTGAGGGTTCAAGTCCCTTTGTGGTTGCTTGAACGATCTTTACCCTTGCATTTTTTAGATTATTCCACATATCACCGTTTGGTGCAACAACTGATAATCGCACGTTTTTGTCATTAGGAATGAAAAAATAATGCTATGAATTTCAGTAGAATCCCAAGGCTGGTTAGCTCAGTTGGTTAGAGCGTGGTGCTAATAACGCCAAGGTCACGGGTTCAACCCCCGTACGGGCCACACCCTCTTTGTTGACATTATCAACCTTGTACTGTAAGAAAAAATTGAAAACTTCTCTCAATGGAGCTACTGACTGAATCTAGAACCGCGTGGCCTAAAGGATAAGGCGTCTGACTTCTGATCAGAAGATTGAGGGTTCAAGTCCCTTCGTGGTTGCTTGGAAGATCTCAACCCTCTGAATCTTGTTTAAGAAGTACCATTTTTCCACATAGAACGGTTTCGTGCAACAACTGAACATCATACTTGTAGCAGGTTATTGTCATTAGGAATGAGAAAATAACGACATGAAACCCTGAAGCACGTGAAGGCCGGTTAGCTCAGTTGGTTAGAGCGTGGTGCTAATAACGCCAAGGTCACGGGTTCAACCCCCGTACGGGCCACAATTTCTGTGTTGACTTTATCAACCTTGTACTGTAAGAAAAAATTGAAAACTTCAAATGAGAAAAAATCAGCACAGGATTTGCTCTGAGCGCAGTGACAATATTGCGGTTTACAACCCCCGGAAGGCCACAAATGCCTTGTTGACATTATCAAGCTCTTAATGTATGGAAGACAAAAACAACTTCTCTCAATCGAGCTACTGACTGAGCCCAAAGGTAACTGCAGCAGAAGATTGAGGGTTCAAGTCCCTTTGTGGTTGCTTGAACGATCTTTACCCTTGCATTTTTCAGATTATTCCACATATCACCGTTTGGTGCAACAACTGATAATCGCACGTTTTTGTCATTAGGAATGAAAAAATAATGCCATGAAATTCAGTAGAATCCCAAGGCCGGTTAGCTCAGTTGGTTAGAGCGTGGTGCTAATAACGCCAAGGTCACGGGTTCAACCCCTGTACGGGCCACACCCTCTTTGTTGACGTTATCAACCTTGTACTGTAAGAAAAAATTGAAAACTTCTCTCAATGGAGCTACTGAATGAACTCCAAGGAAGCTGGTACTGTGTGGCCTAAAGGGTATGTTGTGTGACTTCAGATCAGAAGATGGAGCGGTCAAGTACCTTCATGGTTGCTTGAGAGCTCTCCACTCTAAATACCTAATAATCAGCACGAGATTTGCTCTGAGTGCGGTGGCTATATTGACGTTTACACCCCCAGAAGGCAACAACTGCCTTGTTGACATCATCAAGCTATTGGAAGACAAAAACAACTTCTCTCAAAGGAGCAACTGACTGAACCCCAAGGAAACTGGAACAGCTTGGCCTAAAGGATAAGGCGTCTGACTTCGGATCAGAAGATTGAGGGGTCAAGTCCCTTCGTGGTTGCTTGGAAGATCTCAACCCTCTGAATCTTGTTTAAGAAGTACCAATTTTCCACATAGAACGGTTTCGTGCTACAACTGAACATCATACTTGTAGCAAGTTATTGTCATTAGGAATGAGAAAATAACGACATGAAACCCTGAAGCACGTCAAGGCCGGTTAGCTCAGTTGGTTAGAGCGTGGTGCTAATAACGCCAAGGTCACGGGTTCAACCCCTGAACGGGCCACAATTTCTGTGTTGACTTTATCAACCTTGTACTGTAAGAAAAAATTGAAAACTTCAAATGAGAAATAATCAGCACAGGATTTGCTCTGAGCGCGGTGACAATATTGTGGTTTACAACCCCCGGAAGGCCACAAATGCCTTGTTGACATTATCAAAGTCTTAATGTATGGAAGACAAAAACAACTTCTCTCAATCGAGCTACTGACTGAGCCCAAAGGTAACTGCAGCAGAAGAGTGAGGGTTCAAGTCCCTTTGTGGTTGCTTGAACGATCTTTACCCTTGCATTTTTCAGATTATTCCACATATCACCGTTTGGTGCAACAACTGATAATCGCACGTTTTTGTCATTAGGAATGAAAAAATAATGCCATGAAATTCAGTAGAATCCCAAGGCCGGTTAGCTCAGTTGGTTAGAGCGTGGTGCTAATAACGCCAAGGTCACGGGTTCAACCCCCGTACGGGCCACACCCTCTTTGTTGACGTTATCAACCTTCTACTGTAAGAACAAATTGAAAACTTCTCTCAATGGAGCTACTGAATGAACTCCAAGGAAGCTGGTACTGTGTGGCCTAAAGGGTATGTTGTGTGACTTCAGATCAGAAGATGGAGCGGTCAAGTACCTTCATGGTTGCTTGAGAGCTCTCCACTCTAAATACCTAATAATCAGCACAAGATTTGCTCTATATTTGCTCTATATTGACGTTTACACCCCCAGAAGGCAACAACTGCCTTGTTGACATCATCAAGCTATTAATGTATGGAAGACAAAAATAACTTCTCTCAATGGAGCTACTGACTGAACCCCAACGAAACTGGAACAGCTTGGCCTAAAGGATAAGGCGTCTGCCTTCGGATCAGAAGATTGAGGGTTCAAGTCCCTTCGTGGTTGCTTGGAAGATCTCAACCCTCTGAATCTTGTTTAATAAGTACCAATTTTCCACATAGAACGGTTTTGTGCTACACACCGCGCTATACTTGTAGCAAGTTATTGTCATTAGGAATGAGAAAATAACGACATGAAACCCTGAAGCACGTCAAGGCCGGTTAGCTCAGGTGGTTAGAGCGTGGTGCTAATAACGCCAAAGTCACGGGTTCAGCCCCGTTCGGGCCACAATTTCTGTGTTGACTTTATCAACCTTGTAATGTAAGAAAAAATTGAAAACTTCAAATGAGAAATAATCAGCACAGGATTTGCTCTGAGCGCGGTGACAATATTGCGATTTACAACCCCCGGAAGGCCACAAATGCCTTGTGGACATTATCAAGCTATTAATGTATGGAAGACAAAAACAACTTCTCTCAATGGAGCTACTGACTGAGCCCAAAGGTAACTGGATCGGAAGATTGAGGGTTCAAGTCCCTTTGTGGTTGCTTGAACGATCTTTACCCTTGCATTTTTCAGATTATTCCACATATCACCGTTTGGTGCAACAACTGATAATCGCACGTTTTTGTCATTAGGAATGAAAAAATAATGCTCTCTTTGTTGACATTATCAACCTTGTACTGTAAGAAAAAATTGAAAACTTCTCTCAATGGAGCTACTGACTGAAACTGGAACCGCGTGGCCTAAAGGATAAGGCGTCTGACTTCGGATCAGAAGATTGAGGGTTCAAATCCCTTCGTGGTTGCTTGGAAGATCTCTCCACTCTGAATCTGGTTTAAGCAGTAGCATTTTGAGATTATTCCACATAGTACCGTTTGGTGCAACAACCGAACATCACACATTTAGCAAGTTATTTCATTAGGAATGAGAAAATAAAGACATGATATTCTGGATCACCTCGAGGCCGGTTAGCTCAGTTGGTTAGAGCGTGGTGCTAATAACGCCAAGGTCACGGGTTCAACCCCCTTACGGGCCACAACTTCTTAGTTGACGTTATCAACCTTCTACTGTAAGAACAAATTGAAAACTTCTCTCAATGGAGCTACTGAATGAACTCCAAGGAAGCTGGTACTGTGTGGCCTAAAGGGTATGTTGTGTGCCTTCAGATCAGAAGATGGAGCGGTCAAGTACCTTCATGGTTGCTTGAGAGCTCTCCACTCTAAATACCTAATAATCAGCACAAGATTTGCTCTGTAACGCCAAGGTCACGGGTTCAGCCCCGTACGGGCCACAATTTCTGTGTTGACTTTATCAACCTTGTACTGTAAGAAAAAATTGAAAACTTTAAATACCAAATAATCAGCACAGGATTTGCTCTGAGCGCGGTGACAATATTGCGGTTTACAACCCCCGGAAGGCCACAAATGCCTTGTTGACATTATCAAGCCATTAATGTATGGAAGACAAAAACAACTTCTCTCAATGGAGCTACTGACTGAGCCCAAAGGTAACTGGATCAGAAGATTGAGGGTTCAAGTCCCTTTGTGGTTGCTTGACCCTTGCATTTTTCAGATTATTCCACATATCACCGTTTGGTGCAACAACTGATAATCGCACGTTTTTGTCATTAGGAATGAAAAAATAATGCTATGAATTTCAGTAGAATCCCAAGGCCGGTTAGCTCAGTTGGTTAGAGCGTGGTGCTAATAACGCCAAGGTCACGGGTTCAACCCCCGTACGGGCCACACCCTCTTTGTTGACATTATCAACCTTGTACTGTAAGAAAAAATTGAAAACTTCTCTCAATGGAGCTACTGACTGAAACTAGAACCGCGTGGCCTAAAGGATAAGGCGTCTGACTTCTGATCAGAAGGTTGAGGGTTCAAGTCCCTTCGTGGTTGCTTGGAAGATCTCAACCCTCTGAATCTTGTTTAAGAAGTACCATTTTTCCACATAGAACGGTTTCGTGCAACAACTGAACATCATACTTGTAGCAGGTTATTGTCATTAG